CACCTTTGTCTGTGTGAAAGAAGAGTAGACCCACCATCCAATTTGGAAAAAATAGTAGCTCATGAGAGACTCAGCATGCAGAGGGACAAAGGCCAGACCATGTGTGATGTCAGAACACTGACTCACGAACTGCACAGCCACCAATCCGGGACACCAAACCACAACTTCTGTAGCATCATCCCGTTATTGTCAGGACTTGGTTAGTGACTGTCTGCTCCCCTAATTTTTACCACTTACCACTCAGGATCAAGCAGAGAAAGTCCAATATTGTTCGCCAGCCAATCTCTTAAGATGTCTGCTCCCGGTTAGCCCGTCTCCAGCTTCCCCATGCCAGCAGCCTCCAATCAAAGCACACCTGACGCCTTCCCTTTTTTCATTATAAAGTTTTCTCATTCCCTGCCTGACTTTGACTCTGCCAAATGCAATTGACAGTGGCTGACTCCTTGTTAAATCAAGTTCTAATTAAATAACCTTTGTTCTCATTTTGGGGGTATCTTTATTGACAGGCCCCATCATTTAATTTTCACAACAACCCTGTGAATAAAATATGACGATTATCTCCATTGTTCAGGTGAAGCAGAGAAGGGATATGTTATCTGCACAAGGTCACACCACTGCTAAGTGATGGGTTAGAATTTGAATCTAGATTTGTTGGCCTCCTAAGCCCCTGCCTTTAAACCAGGACTGTATCACTGTGAGGACTTAGGAGCCATGCACTGGTAATCTCCTGGAGGATTGGTAGGCATTGAGATTGGTAGATCGTGTGTGTGTGTTTTTAAAAACAGATGTCTACATTAGGTCCTCAGGACAGAGATGGCGAGCTGATCACCAGCAACTTGGCATTCCCTTTCCATGAGGTTGAATGCCATTGAGCTGGGTTTACATCTCCCAAGGCTCTTGAATCAAAGTGAGGCCTTTGACTATTTCTGGCTCGTTTAATGTGAACCTAAATTATTGTGTGTTACTTTGGAAGAGGTGGTTCAATTTTTGGCAGGCCGTGCCTACACTCATATTATTCCATGAAAATAGTGGCATGTCATGTTGCAGTTGCAAGCAGTAAAAGTTGGAAGGAACCTGGATCCCTTAGTTTGTGCTTAGAGGACAGCCACACAGGAGAACAGCCAGACCAGGAATATCCACATTACATTTGGCATATATGAGAACTAATTATTGATTATATTAAGTCATTGAGGTTTTGGGGTTCTTTCCTCACTTAGCCTACCCTGATTAATATACTCCTCTTTAAGGACACTTTTACAGGGAAGATTAGGCCCCCATATCGTTTTCTAGTAACAATTATATTTCACCTGGATAACTCACATGCAGATGCTGATGTTTTCTTGAAAGTGTTCATAGAATTTTTAGTGTATAGAGCTAGAAGTGCAGGCACAGTAGACTGTTGTACTACAAGTTGACATTGAATGCAATTGATTGTAGCCACACCGGGAACAGGACAGACAAGGTAAATAAATTATGAATTCCAGGGGAAAGGAGTTTGCAATAGCTGCTATTTCATTTCTCTCTTAACCCCCTGCGACTGTAAACACGCTTATAGATATATTTTATTAATCATTGTTTTGATGTATTTGGAGTTTGCAAGTGGCTATTATAGCTAGGGGATTTCTGGACACCCCTCTAGCTAATCAGATTAGGGACACAAATGCTGCAGTGACAAGCTAGTCTGTGTATGAAAAGACAAATGGAAAAGCTGTCCCTCACCAGCACTTGTAACTAGCTATTTGTTTAAAATAACAGCTTTAGGCCTCTTTCCAACTGTGCTGTCCTCACTTCTGTCTACAGATGATGGACTTTAGATGGAAAATTACATGAGAGATACTTAACAAGTGGATATCTTTCAAGGGACATCATCAGAATAAAACACTTCAAAATTCACTTTATGCTGCTTGACGAAAGATAGCATTGATGTGATATATTGAAAGAGCCATAACTACCAGAACTTAAAAAGACCTGTTCATTTTATAAAGGAGGCAAAGAAGTGTGTCATTAATGATACAGTACACTAAATCTTGAGAGGAGAGGATAGGCTTTGCATAACTCCAGACTTATCCACAATACACTGTGTGTGTACTGGTTTATTTCTATCTACACTGCATTGGGTGGTGGTAACTACTAGTCTCAAACCTTGATTCTTTCCCAGGACAGCTCACAGTGAGGTCTGACCCAATCTAGCATCACCCCAGGTCTCAGGAAACCTGGTGAGATCTCTTCTCATTCTGATAGTCTGTCTTGGTAATCTTGCCATAATGCCTTTTGCTATACAAATATCTTTTCAATTTTTGTCTGATTGTTCCTCTGCCTTGTTTACCACTCATCTGTTTTGTTCACTGCTGCATCTCCAGTGCCCAGCACACTTCCTGGCACATAGAATACATTAACTCTTTTGGAATATACACAGTTGTAAGCAAAGTGACTGGAGATGGCAGGAATTGGAGAGGTCTTAACATCTAAATATAAGATGGGGCTTGGGACAAAATGTGAAGGTTAGAAGATAAGTTTGAATATGCAAAGATAAAAGTGTTTCACATGGGGAATGGAACACTAAGGTGCTAAATTTTGGAGTCAGGAATGAGTTCAGTATGTTTAAGGGACAGCAAGTAGACAGTTGGGGAGACTGTGGAAGAATGGAAAGTGTGTTTCGTGGCTTTAGAATGTCAAGCATTAATAGAAATATGTAAAATTCTTCATTGAAAATTATAGGATAGCCTTGCTTTAACTCAAAAAAATAGCAAAATGTCTTGTATGGAGTAACTTTACAAGTCAAAACCACACACTTCAACTTCTGTTATCCTGTGTGGTTCATGTGCACGAAGCTGTCTTTAATACTCTATGTGTAAAACCAGAATATAAGAGCATTTTTGGTTTCATGGCTTGCTGTGGAGTGAATGTTTGTACCTTTCACAATTTGTATATTGAAGCCTAAGTTCTCAATGTGTTTAGCAGTATGGCCTTTGGGAGGTAATTAGGTCATGAGGTCAGAGGCCTCATGAATGGGATTAATGCCTTTATAAAAAGATAAAGATGCCAGAACTCATGTGCTTTCTCTGTCTCTGTCTCTGTCTCTGTCTCTGTCTCTGTCTCTCTCTCTCTGTCTCTCTCTCTCTGTGTGTGTGTGTATGTGTGTGTATCTACACACATACATCATGTGAGGGTACAGCAATAAAGAGGGGCCATCTTTAAACCAGGAAAACGACCCTCACCAAGAACCTGGTACCCTGATCTAGGACTTCCAGACTCCAGAATTATAAGAAATGCATGTTATAGCAGCCAGACTGACTAAGACGTGGCCGCAAACCAAAAGAGAAATTTGTCACTTAGCCGTTGCACTTTCCTTTCCTGGCCCCCAAGATGGAGGACTTTTATGGGTCATGAAATATTTCCTGGAGCAGATGTGGTTATGACAGACATAATGTTAGTGTCTCTTTGTGGACCAGAGTTCATTTGGTTGGGTTTGTGTGCCCGGTCCTGGAGAGAGTGGGAGGAGCAGGGCTAGATCTAAGATATCATTCTGATGAGCTGGATGTAAGCCAGCTGCAGTAGCCCCAATCTGTTTAGGGGCTCATATTTTTAATTGTCTCATCTTCCTGCTTCCCTCCAACTCCTGATAGTTAGAGAATAACACATTTATCACTGGTCACTATCCCATAAAACTCTTACATGTGAAGCAGGAGTCTTATCTCTCTGATTCATTTCCTTCTTAGACAAGAGCAGAAGAGCAGGTAGTCTTAACAACCCTGAGCTCAGCTATGTTAGCTCACTTAGGAAGACCAATAAATCAGAAAGAACATTCTTCCACCTCAAACATGTTTTCCAGCAACAATAATGATCATTACTAACATGTGTTTCATCATTGCATTAGGTTTCTCTAGAGAAACACCATCAGTAGGCTCTGTCTGTCTGCCTGCCTATCCATCTATCTGTCTATGAGGAAATTTATTATAGGAATTGGCTCACACAATTCTGGAGGCTGAAAAGTCCTACAATTTGCCTTTGGCAGGCTAGAGGACGAGGGAAGCCAGTAGTGTGATTCAGTCTAAGTCCAAAGGCCCCAGAACCAGGAATGCCAATGTGCCAGGGCAGAAGATGGATGTCACAAGCCAACTTAAGACAGCAAATTCACCCTTCCTCTGCTTTTTTGTTCTACTTGGGCCCTCAAAGGATTGGATGATGCCCACCCACATTGGGGAGAGTGATCGTTACTCAGTCTGTCCATTCAAATGCCAATATCTTCCAAAAACACCCTCACAGACACCCCCCAAAATAATGTTTTACCAGCTATCTGGACACCCTTTAGCCCAGTCAAGTAGACACCTAAAATTAACCATCTTACCTATGCTATTTAATTTATTTTCAAGAACCAAGTATTTTTCTGACCCCCATTATGCATATCAGGAAACTGTGCACTGAGAGTTTAAGGAAATTCCCTAGAGAAATATAGTCAGTGAGTGACACACTGATTTGTAGATTCATGATATGTTTTTCTCTAACATATAGTCACTATATAATGCTAGCCTTTGCCTCCATTTGAAAAGGGAATGATTTTAACATTTCAGCTAACATCTTCACACTTTTCCTTGGGATCTTTAAGTTTAGACAGTCACAAATATCACTTTAAGAGAGATCTTTTACAGTGATTATTCAGGTAGAACTAAGAACACTACAAGAATGCAGTGAATTCAGTACCCACTTATTGGATGGCCTGGGCTCAAATCTCAGTGTGCCATTTACTAGCTATGTAACTTAAGCCTGTTTTCTCATCTGTAAAAATTGAGATAATACTTACTTCTCAAGGGATTTGAGGCTTAATTAAGATACTATATGTAACCACGTAGCACTGTACCTGGCACGTGGAAGAGCTCTGTAAATGCTGTTAGTAGTGTCTTCTAAAGTATACAGAGTTGAATTAATAATGGTAGAACGATTTTCCTAGTTCAGCAATGTGCACTGCCTTACCCTTTTTTTTCTTTTCTTTTTTCTTGTAGAGAGCATATTTTGGAGTACCTGGCATTCTATGTCATGAGAGAATGAACCAGAATGGGGCATATGCTTCTATCCTGAAGATGAGACTGCAGAACTGACTATATACACAGTCCTGTGTCACCTAAAGACAGGGACACATTCTGAGAAATGCATCATGAGGCAGTTTCATCATTGTGCGAATATCATGGAGTGTCCTTACACAAAGCTAGACGGTATATGCCTACTACATACCTAGGCTCTATGGTGTAGCCTATTGCTCCTAGGTTATAAACCTGTACAGCATGTTACTGTACTCAGTACTGTGAGCAATTATGACACAATGGTAAGTATTTATTTGTGTATCTAAACGTAAGATAGAAAAGGCACAGTAAAAATACGGTATTATAATCTTGCGGGACCACCATTTTACATTCAGTCCATTATTGACCAAAACATCACTATGCAGTGCATGACTGTATTTGTGTAAGGAAATTTAAAAATAATAAGGTATGTTCGGAAACTGAGATGAAAAGAGGAATCATAAAGTGCTGAAAGGACTCCTCTTTGAACCCTGAAATTTCTCTGGCACTGTTCCTAAACTTTTGGAGTCACTGGCCAGTTAACAATTGTAGGAAAACCAGAGAGCATCTACCTTCTAAATGTGCCTACACATAAAATTATGCATACAATTTTGGGGATTCACAGAAAAGTCCTTAAAAGTCTATTTATGTGATTGCTCTCAGTATGAGAGCACCTGGCCTGAGTGAAAATTCTCCATCAGGAGGCTTTTCCCTGTGGTGAACATGGAGTTAGAGGTTGAAGGCTAAGGAGAAGTTTTATAGGTAGAAAAGAGAGAAAAAGCCCAGGCGCGGTGGCTTACGCCTGCAATCCCAGTACTTGGGAGGCCAACGTGGGCAGATCACTTAAGGTTAGGAGTTCGAGACCAGCCCGGCCAATTATGGTGAAACCCCATCTCTACTAAAAATAACAATAATTATCTGGGCATGGTGGCATGCACCTGTAATCCCAGCTCTTCAGGAGGCTGAGGCACAAGAATCGCTTGAACCCGGGAGGTGGAGGTTGCAGTGAGCCAAGATCGCGCCACTGCACTCCAGCCTGGGCGACAAGAGTGAGACTCGGTCTCAAAAAAACAAAAAAGAAAGAAAAAAGAAAAAGGAAAGAGAGAAAGACATTGCAGTAGAGGGGATTTCATGGATGAAGTTACAGAAGGGTGAAAGGGAAAAGTGGAGTGGTATTTGGGGAAGAGCGAAGGGGCTGGGACTAGATGAAGAACAGTTTTTTATGCCATGCTAAGGAGTTTCACTTTGTCTTTAGACAGATAGTATCAAAGTGCTCAGAGGTTTGCAGTGGAATGGAGGTCTTGAAGCCCCTACTAGAGTTATAACTAGAGCAGCTACATTTTATGATTTATATATAAGATTTGGTTTGAATTATATCGCTTTAAAATGTTGGGAAAATGTTACGAGCAATAGAGACCAGAGAAGAATTTTAAACGGGAGATTGACTTGAACCCACTTGTATCTGAAAAGATAACGCAGGCCACTGAAGCACAAGAATGCCAGTGAGGAAGTCCGTATGAGTCACATCTCTAACTCAGCACTGTCCATACTTTCTGCAGTGATTAGAGTGTTTTACATCTGTGCTGTCCCATTCTGAAGCCACTGGCCACACGTGGCGACTGAGCTCAAAGTGTGGCCAGAGTGATGGAAGAGCTGAAGTTGTAATATTATTCAATTGTAATTAGTTTAAATAGCTATGTATGGCTACAGCTACCATTTTAGGCAGTGCAACTCTGATCAGTGGTTTTCCATCTCCAGAAAGGAACGTAGCCCTGCTCATACCTTGATTTTAGCACACTGAGACCTGTGTTAGACTTCAGACCTGTGGAACTGTAAGACAATGCATTTGTATCATTTTAAGCCACTGTGTTTTTGGTAAGTAGTTATGGCAGCAGTAGAAAAGTAATGCAGTTATAAATCTAAAATGGCATCATTAAAGGGGCTTTTGGGCAAACGTTATTTCAGGTTAAATTTACCAACTGAGATTTTTTTTTGAAGTTTATATATTTTTTGATTATCTGAGTCGTATATGGGCATTATACAAAATTTGGAGAAAGCGCAGGACACCATAAAGAGGAAGAAAGCCCTTTTCAGAGGTAGATAATAATATTTGGATATATTCTCCCTAGTTTTTTAATTGTATTTTTATAGTGGAGATGATAATGAGCTAACAATTATTGAGTGATTATTATGTGCTAGTCCCTGTTCTAAATACTTCACTGATACTAACTCATTTCATCCTCCTTACAATCTATGATGTAGGCACGGTCTTCCCATTTCCCAGATGAAGAAACTGAAGCAAAAAGATACATCACTGGCTTATCTGATTAGACATGGCAGAGTGAGGCATCTGCCCCAGGCAGTAAGTTTCAGAGCAAAGCTTAATTCTGTGCTATATTACCCATATTCTGAATATACTACTTTTAATCTTGATTCCTTTCACTTAACCCTTTAAATTCAAAAATTTCTCATGTTATTAACAACTCTTAACTGTGGTTTGCAGATTGTGTAGGTGGTACAAGTGTCACCATTTTCTTTTGCCACATTTATGCCAAAAATTATAATGACCTCTTTATCATTGAGAAGAGATATGTTAGAAATAGAAATTCTTTAGCTTAAAAATGAAGTTAGCACAATGCTAGTTTATTAATAGAGATGGAGGGTGTGGGAGCAAGTGTCAGATACATTTGTAAAGTTATTTACTTGGAACTTGAAGCTAATTTTCCTGTAAAGTAATATGATACATAATTGGACCTTCAGTAGCCCCCATCTTCCCACATGCCTATTTTCCCTGCAAAGTAATGGAAATACTAAATGCTGTTAGTATGTTGAAGTTCAACCCAAGAGCTTATGTATACAGGAAAAAAAAAATTCCCCCTAGGGAGTGCAACTATAAAATTAGTATAAAAATGATCAGAACATAGATATGCAAAGTTACCTTTAAGAAGCAAAATAGCTTTGGGGCCTATAAGAATGTTACTTAAAGAATGGAAACTCAGTTCTTAGCCCTGGAAGAACTGATACACTAGCCCCTTGAACAACCATTGGCAGCATCCCCAGGTGGTACTACATATTGTAGAAGGAGCTTTAGCCAATGATGACTGAAGGGTCAATCTCTCTGGAAGATAGATGCATCAGCCCGTTTTAGGGAGTGTGGCTAAAATCAGCTAACTCTTGTTTTATTTGCATACTCGCCTAATAACTTCTGGTTAAAATTGGGCTTCTTATATAGGTCTACAGGGAGACATTTCTCTGGTTTTGTTGCCACAAGTATTACAGCTCTGTCATAATTATGTTTATTTTATTATTGTAAATTAAAAGATAGGTGTTGCAGTTCTATAAATGTTTCCTGAGTTTGATTAATTCAAATGTACCCCCTGAGAGATGGGTCCATTCTTAGCAAGCTGACAAAATCAGACCTCAAGCAGAGCCTGTGATCTGAACATCAGGCCCTGAACCAGGTACCCAGCAGTTAGCCTGGGTCTTCCCCTTGCTTTACCTCCTCTAACATTATCATTGGCCAAAGTGAGGCTCCTATTATTATTTAAGTAATTTCAGTGTGTGTTTATAATAAAAGAATAGGAAAAAAATAGTTGCAGTCAGTAATTACCACAAAAGGAGGGTAGGAGCAAAAAAATAACAGTTTAATTGCAGAAAGATGTAGCTGCTGCTACTGCTGATAATGATGAATAACATTAATTGTGGACTTAAAAATGTGTGACACATTCTGTTATACACTTTAAATAAGTTATTTCATTTAATCCTAACAACCCCAAGAGGAAGGTACATTATTGTGCACAATTTACCAGTGAGGAAATTGAGGGATTTAAAGGTCAAGTAACTCACCCATGGTCAGATATCCAGAAAGTGCAGAGCCAAGATTACAGTCCAGGCAACACAAGTCTTTGCCCAAACTCTTGACTGCAAAGCTTGATTAAGAAGCTGGGAAGGAGGCTTTGGGGGAGAAACTATGGGAGCCCTTTGTTTCAGTTTCAGGTGTTGATTTCTCTGGTTTATGGTTAAACTTTCTTCTTTTTGACCAGGTATATCATTAACTTCTCATACTGACTAGTCTGGATATGATTCCAGTCTTGGCTTACTACTCAATCAAATGGTGGGGTGGGAGTGGAGATCTAAGAACAGTGGATAAGAATTGGAAGAGGCTGAGGCAGAGTGAGATGGAAGGGGTCAAAGATGATATATGTGTATGGAAAAGGTGGCCAGATAAAAAAAAAATTAAACAGTGCACATCAGCAGAAGGAAAGAGGGACAGCAGGTTTGATGCCCAATCATAATCCCTTTGAGAGAGTAAAAGAGTAGATCAGACACCAGTAACTAAAAGAATCTTTGTTTCTGACTGGAGAGGCAGTGCGGGGGGTAATGGAAGCATGCTCAGTTGGATGTCAGCCCGCATGTTCCCTGATTTGTAACTGGAAGTCCTTGCTATTGCCTTTGAGCTCTGGAACTGTTTTATTGCTTTTATAAACTACTAGTTATCTTCTTTTAGGGGGACATAACAGATGGTCATGCTGGAACTGAGCTTTTTATCTGAATCTTCAAAACCTTTTTGTGCACAATTTATGAGGTTCACTTCTTTGCAAATTCAGTGCTTTCTTGTAGCTATTCCTTTTGAGATGAGCCACAAGAGCCTCATTTTCGTTGGGCATTGCCTATTAGTGGCAAAACTCCTTTCTTATTTAATCAGCTTCTCCAAAGGAGTAAGGCTGAATCCAGATAGGTTCTGTTTATGAGGGCAAAAAGATTTTGGTGGTCTAACTAAAAATAACGCATGGAATCTGCCACCTGGGTCTCCCTTTCATATTCATCTTGTATTTTTATGCATTTTGCTCATGAAGTTCCTGCTAGTAAGTCAGCCCCTGAGAGCATGGAAGAAATTTGACTGGGTTAACTGTTTGTGGCTATAGAAAGGACAACCCCAACCGGTCATGTGGTTGGAAGGCAAGGCTGACACAATCCCAGATCCTTGCCTTGTTGGGTTCAGAATATGCAGAGGATCGTTGCATATACTCTCAGTTGAATGAAAAAAAAATGAGTAAAACAGTATTATCTATGAAAAAAAAAACTCAGAAAACGGTATGTTTTTCATAATTACCAGAAACCTGCAAGACAGTTGGATACACACTGGGCTCAGAAAACAACCAAACCAAAATCAACTTTGCAAACTTCAGCATCTTCATAGTTCATTTTGTTCTCTAGGCTTGTTTCCCAAATCATTTGGAATTAATACTATTCTGGTTTATTATTCAAATTCCTGAATCCAGAGATACTTTCAGCTAGCTTTTGTGCAGTCTCTGAATATTAGACTCCAGAGTGGCAGTATAGCGTCTAAGAAAACACAAACTTTGGGGTCAAGACCTTTGGGTCTGCTACATACAAGCTGCATAACTTCAGGCTAATTGTTAGAGTCTTTAAATCCTTCAGTTTTTTCAACTGCAAAATGGAAATAATAACAACTATCTCCCAGGGTTACTATAAAGATGAAATCACACGTATACACACACACACACACACACACACACACACACACATATTTATCTATTGCATAGTTTGTACTTAGCATGTATGTATGCATGTGTAAAGTGCTGGCCTGTAATACATACAATAAACAATAGTTGCATTATTGTTGTTTGCTTGCACTTTGCTCCTCTATTGTCCTTGTGAAGGAAGAAATGCTTCTCTCAGTGTTGGGTATTGTTTGCTTATGAAGTCTCTGAGAAGTTCTTCAATAAAGAAGCCTGTTAAAATTCTTATATGCTGAATGTTCTCAAACTTATTTGATCACCAAACCAGTTTTTCCAGTAATACCTATTAATATCCTGTGGATCCACTGCTCTGCAAACACAGCAAACATACTTTAGGAAATGCTGATCAGGTGGATATAGCCATGATCTTTAATACGGAAATGTGTATTTGAAGCCTTGTTCTATACTTCCTGGGCTCTGTGACTCTGACAAGACACTGAAATTAGCTGCTACTATCAGTTAGGGCTCAGCTCAGATGTAATCGGTTCCAGGACCACCGGTCCCCAGAAAGAGGGTAAGAAACCTTTCCTGTATGTACGTATAATCAGTGCCATACAGAGCCATACTGGAACCTGAGGCACAAGACAAAAATCAGCCATGCTGGTATTGTCTGCTTTTAAAAGGAAGTTGTTTGCTTGCCTTGTCCTAATCCTGACCCTGCTCATAATGCCCTGAACATGTATTGATCATACTGTAATAATGTATTTATATATGTCTTCACAAATAGACCAAAAGCTCCTGGTGGGCCAAGACCATGCCTCGTTAATCTTTATATTTACGGAATCAAGCTCAGTACTGGCATGAAGTCGGTTTTGATAAATGTGTCTCTGGTGAGAGTGCTCTTTTCCCATATACCTGCTCCTTCACTTCATGTTTCTGTTTAACTATCATCATCAGAGAGACCTTCCATGTAAAAGGGCCTCCCTGTCACCTCCACCTCAATATTTATCCCTTATGTTGTTTAGTTTTTCTTCATGGCACTTACTATGTCCTGACATCTTTTTGAATTGTGTGTGTGTGTGTGTGTGTGTGTGTGTGTGTGTGTGTGTGTGTGTGTTTACCTTGACTTAAGCCTTGGTCAAGCAGGGTCTGTTGTTTCATTCCTGCATCCTCAGTACCTAGAGTGGTGCCTGGTATATAGTAGATATTCATATATTGGTTGAATAAATTAATAATTAAACGGATGCATGACTATCTTCTTTTTCTTTCATTGCCTCATCTAGCAAGTGGAAATAATGCAATCTCCCTTATCTGCTATTAGGATTACATCAAAATGTGTTTGTGGAAGCAGTTAGTATAGTGCTGTGCCCATTGTTAGTAGTCAATAATGTATGTTAAAGAAATCTGTATCTAGCTGAATGTGAATAGAAGATGGTAACTCCTATGGAATTTTTTAAATAATTATAACTTCTGTGCCAGAGTTTTCTAATACCTTGGAGAGAATGCGAAACACCATGGTGTCATTTGTTGAGTGTGTTTTTATAAGGAGAATATTAATGAAGCAACAAACTACTTTTGTATAGTATTCAATCAGAGACTGAGATAATGGCTTTTCATCTCATGGTCTTATATATTATCGCACAGCATTAAGGGTATTACAGTCAAGTGTCTGGGCTTGAATTCTGGCTCTGCCCTTTACTAATGTGAGTGATTGCAGATAAGTCACTCTCCTTTTGAGGCTTAGCTTCTTCCTTTGTAGAAGAACATTGTAAATAGCTATATCTCAGATTTGATATAAGAATTTTATGTGCTCATTTTATAAAACATAATTACTGTTAGTTGCTGCTGTTCTTTTTACAACTATTACTACTGCCGGCAC